ATGGTGCGGTGTGTAAAAATTCGTTCGCTTTTTAACATTTATTCCAGTTCACTTTTTATTATAAACTTCTCTTCTTATTTTATTATGTATATTTTGTTTATTTTGTCATGCAAATGTTATTTTATTAGCGTGAAGTACATGAAGTGAACTTGTTCAAAACTTACTCGACTAAAATAGATTGTTCCGTTCCGTCTTGATGTGTATTAAGACGTCCGAGAGGAGCAAATGTTCCGAGCAATATTTATAAAACTTTTTTATGGAAAAAATTTTTTTGGGATAAGTGTGAGCAAAAGTTGGAAAAATATTATTTTTCATGCATTATTAAAGTTTTTCTATGCGTACTTCTCCTTTGAAAAGGAGAAGCACTTTGTGCAAAAGTGCACAGAATTTTTTCCATATAAAATTTATTTTATTCTTGAGCTAAAAAAAAACTAGATATAAACGCACATTACTTCCGGTCATAAATTTAAATAATTGGTCACAAAAATATAATACATTGCTTCAAAAATTATATCTACATATACATATGTAGATATAATGAAGAGAAACATATGTGTGTTCTGGTAGTGACTTCATTTTTAAAATTACTGTGAAAAATATAATTAAATATATAAAGGGTTATGGTGAAAAAACATCCGCTAGTTAACCAGTATCAATTACTGGTATAAATCAAAATATCAATTACTGGTGTTTTTAACAGTAATCATATATAATTAACAGTTTAAAATCAAATTATATAAACGATATCAGCATAAAAAGCATATTTAAAAAAAAGAATTTTCTTTCATACTATACGTAAATTTGCATGAGTACCAAATTTAATTTTATTTTATTTTCTTAGCCAAGAATATTTTACAGGCAGGCTTTCGCGAAATATACAGTGCGGAGCATATTGTGTGCCTAAAAGGGCCAACTTTGTGTAATAATTACAATGAATTAAGTTCAAAGTAGTTTTAGTAATTTCTTATAAAGTGCATCTAACTCCTTTAACTACTTTCATGTGTGGTATTTGAGGTAATTGCGTTATATAGTAGTACCACTTCGAAATACTTCAGCAACTAAGTTTAGTTTAAAATTTTGTTTACAATCCAAATAATAAATATCTGCAAATAATTTTTAAATGACTTTAAAAAATTTTTTACTATATGGATTAAAATAAACAAACCCATTCGGTTAATGCCGAGTAATAACAAAACGATACACTTATACACTAACTATACACTTAACTACATAAAGATATCGAACACATAGACTTGAAAAATGTTTGGATATAGTCATAGTCTAGTCTTCAGTTTGCATTATATGGATATTAACCAAATTTAAATTGGCTTGCTATAATAATACACGGCCCGGTGACATTGGTGAATGGTACATATACTCCAGACTTTCGATTTGAGGAACTCAAAGGTACACCTAACTCTTTATGAGTTGGAGTCATTGAAATCGATAAACTTCATTACATGCGTAGGAGTGTTAGTCGAATGCATAGGCTTACTCTAAATCTAGTCTTCAGTTATACAGAAACCAATTCATTTTAAATTGGCTTGCTATTATAATAGTGAACAGTATATATACTCCAGATTTTCGATTTGAGGAACTCCAAGGTTCCAGAATAAGGTACAGAAATTAAAGTTACCTACAAAATAAAAATTAGAGATAATCCATTTTTATATATTATAAAAAATATATATATTATATACGGTTTCAATAGATCAGAACGTTGCAATCATGACAAATAACTATTATATCACAAAATTACGTCACTCTGAAAAATGAAATTGACGTAATGAACACTATTGTACTATTGTACAAACCGAAAATTAAATTACTGCTAAAGTAATTTCTGTTTAACATTTTTTAAGTCCTACAACCATAGAATATAATAACATATAATAATAACAGTGATATCGGTTCCTAATGGAACAGAACGCCGCAAACAGAGCAATTCTTTTGTGTTTTGATTAACTCAAATTAAACAAGGAATAAACTGTATTTCATGAGAAGTAGAGTACTTTATAATGACGAGTTCTTATTATTCAACATATACAGAAGTTTACACTTCAGTATTCTTCTTCTGATTGTGATCTAAGCTTGATAGTCACGATATATGAGACTTGAAGTCTTATCTACTTTTAGGCTGAGATAGCATTTCATTACATTCTAGAGACCAAACTTGTTGTTTTATTCAGATGAGACGTCTTGTTATAGTTAAAAGGATGAACTAGAAAGCAGACTTTTTCATATTGAGGAGATGTTGTTATCCAACATGTTCGGAAGCTTTAACTCCAATATTGTTCTGCTGACCACGATGGAAGCCTGTTAAACACAATGAATGTGTTTGAAAGTTTCATTTATTTCTAGATAGAGACGACATTTAATTACTTTTGAGAGACTAATCTTGTTGAGATATCAGTCAACAATTTTAGAACTATTTTTTTGAGAAGAGAGATCTCATTATAGTTAAATGTATAAATCAGTCTACTATGGCTTGAGGATTACCTAAATTACCAAGCTATTAACGGTGTCTTTCAACTTTTATCGCTGCTAAGATTAATTATTTATATAAATGCTGTTTAAATTTTTGACTCAATTTTGCAGATAAAGACAATTTAAATACGTAAATAAAAAGCAAACAAATTGTATTCAATTGAGTTAATTTAATTGGAAGTATATAATTGCAGTTTAAATACGTTCCTCTTCAGCCAATTTATAATTTAGTCTACATTTAGGCGCAATTATTCAAATGTTGTTTTTTTTTATTCTCAAGGACTCTTGTTTGTTCAGGTGCTTCCCATTTTAATGTTTAATTAACCAATTCATAAAAATTTAGATAAAATACCCAAACATGAATTTTTTGATAAAATAGCAGAAAATGAAAAATATGTGTATGAACTCATATATGAGAGCGCATTAATTCAAAATAATGCGAGTATAGTCGAAATTGTGCAATTTAAATATAAAAGGCATAAACCTATATTTAGTACATGTGTAGGAACATAAATACACTCCTGGATATGTGTTGGCTTCCTGCTTGTAGCTTTTCCTGCTTTCGTTTTTCATGTTTTCTGGTTGCCACAGCATTTAATTGGATCAGCAAAAAATCTCTTTTGTGCGAGATTTAATTTTGGTGCCAGTTGAAAACCGCTTACATTTGCGGTGCTGTGGTAAAAATCGCGTCGCTTCGCTATGTAAATTTGAATTGTTGTGAAATAATTCTAAAATTTTCCCCCGTACTGTACTGTACACCCAATTAAAAGCCATAAATAAGCAACAATTAAATGTGTTTGTGTACGCAGCACGTGGATAAACAATATAACAGGCCACGCAGCGGCCCACACTCGACTAAACTGTTTTCAATTAAAGTACCAGGCCTCTAGCACTTTTGGCGACTTACCCGCATGCCGGTAGAGTTCAGCGGTAACATGGCATAATTATCATTTTCGCACAAGTGCTTGCGAGCAGTATCGACAATGTCCAAGTGAATTAGCAATTTGTGCTTTAATCAAAACAACAATTTGTTGTAGCAACGCCTGTGGCAACGAAACACTCTGGATCTACAGCATCAACAACGCATAGAGCATAGAGCAAAGGACGCATTACCAGCAGTGCCAGCATTGTCAGCAATGTCAGCATTGCCAGCATATAATTTGTTATTATTTTGTGTATTTTATGTCAATTTTTTTGTAATATTTTGTATTTCGTATTTCTATTAAAATATCATCTTTTCCTTTTTTGTTTTTTTTTGTTTTTTTGCTTATTGCAGCACCATAATGAGCGGTCAACGTTGTCCTAACGATAATCAAATCAAGGAACAAATTGTCATCATTACAGGCGGTAACAGCGGCATTGGTTTCGAGATAGCGAAGGCATTAGCTACACGTGGTGGACGCATTATTTTGGCCTGTCGGAATATGCCGGCAGCGGAACGTGCAGCTGCTATCATAAAACGAGAATTGGGCTGTCGTGCCGCGGCTGGTAGAGTCTTCTACGTGGAAGCACGTTACCTCGATTTGTGCTCCTTTGACAATGTGCATCGTTTCGCACGGAATATCATGAGCGAATTCGAGCGCATTGACGTGTTGGTAAATAATGCGGGCGTGATTTTTCAACCTACAAACACAACTGTGGATGGCTTTGAATTGCATTTGCAGGTGAATTATTTGGCGCATTTTTTGCTGACACAATTGTTATTGCCACATTTGCGTCGTTCTGAGAATGGACGCATTATAAATACTTCCGCCCATGCTCATGCTGCAGCCAAAATCGAGTTTGATGATCCACTGAATGTGGGCACATGGGCTGTTAAGTTTCATGCACGCGATGCCTTCTCCCATTCCAAATTGTGTGTTGTGTTGGCAACACGCTGGTTGGCGCGAGAACTGAAAGGTAAGCAACAATGGACATTTTGTTGGAATAGGTTTTATATAGGCTATAGGCACATATGGCCTATAGGACTAACTCTTGTGTAATGTTGTGTGCTTGTGTGATGTTGTGTGATGTGAATGGCAGAATAGCAGAGAGAAAAATGTTTCCAATCTGCAAAAAAAATAATAAAATAACAAATAAAATGAAAAGTAAAAAGAAAATAAAAATAAAAAATGTAATGTGAACTTTGTTAAACTTGGTAGACTACAAACACTATTCTGGGCCTGCCAGCCTGCGTCTCTGACATTTGGCGTTTGTTGCCTGTACGTGTTTTTATGGTTTAACAAAATTTTTATTTAATTTACCTTGTTTCCGATGTCCTTTTCCTGTGCTCTTTTTTATGTTCTTGCGTTCTTTAAATTGTTTTGTTAAACTGATTTAAATTGGTTTTGGTTTTTTCCTATTTTTTTTTTTTTGAATTTCGTACTTTTTTTAATTTTATGTCCTGTTTCATTTCTGTTTGTTGCCTCTTTAATTTCATTCCATATTTTTTTTCCAGAAAGCAACGTTACGGTCAATTGTTGCACACCTGGTCTGGTCCGTGGCACCGCACATTTGCGCAAGTAAGTGGCTTTTGATTCCATTTATCAAATTTAAATTTAAAAGGGAAATATTTGTGCATTTTCGAGCGAAAAATATTTTGCCTATTAGGCTAAAAATATTTTTTTAAAAACTTTTTGAAACACAAAAAGTTATTAAATAAATTCACTTACGCGCATAATGCGCTTATAAATCAAAAACGTTTATTTGATTTTTCATTTAGTACGTTTTTTTTTCAAATTAAATTAATTTTATTTACCGGACTATGAATTATGCATTGCTTCAGAGTCTTCATCATAGTCGGATAGGAAAAAACAAGCGATCTAAACATATACTACATAACAGGTGCATACAGAAATTTTTTCCGATTAAATTAGAAGATGGCGCCAGCGAAAGTACGCTACGCATTAATTTGTCATATATGTCATTTTGCTCACCTGACAATGAACACACACACAAGTTCTGTTTAGTGATCTTGTTCTGACAGTGAACTTACACACTAGTTCTGTTTAGTGATCTTGTTGAAAATTACGTATTTTTTTTACCTAAAATGAACGGAAAAAGCCCATGCAATCACCAGGTACTTCTATCAGTCACATGATCCCATGTGTTGTACCAATGGTTTATCGAAATAATAATATTACAAAATACTATTAGTCATTGTTTTTCACAACAATTCACTAAATAAATTATAATAAAGGAAGGGGATGGGTTACATTTTGTAGAATTTTACATATTTTTTAGTTACCTTAATGAATTATAATAGCAGTGAAAAGATTGATCAGAGAGTGAAGATAGGTACATATAGTGGGACCATTTTTGAATGAACTACATAAACAATTAATTAAATTATTATAATAACAGTGCGAAAAGGAAAAGGGGTATAAAGTATAAAGTTATATATAAATTCTTATATATATATAACTTATATATACTTAACTTATATATACTTATATATTATAGATATATGTTTATAAATATACAAATGTAAAAATTCAAGCTATAAACTTTTTACTTTAAAACTAAACTAACTCTTCTAACATTTCTTTTTTCTAATTATCTTTGAAAGTTGACTTGCTTCTCCAATTCTTTTAAGTATTATTATTAAAATTTCTAGTTAATTTTAATACTCAAATATACACTCAAAAATATGTCTGAACTATATAGTTTTTATTATCTATAATTTCAATGGCGGAATTTCTTCATTGAACACCATCCACCTAAATACGACACTTCTATTACATCATTACGGTCATTTGATTTATAAAAAGGCACCACAATTATTTAGATGTGCTAGGCTGTCCGAGCTTGTAAATTTAGGTCATGTCTTTAATTTTGGTAAAACCTAACCTGTTTCTCATCTCTGCAAAAAATGAGCCTCCTATGGTCAATTGGTGTTACAAATATTTATAAACCACAAGTAGTGCGAGAACAAAACAAGACCTATTTTTATTAGTTTCTATAAAAACATTACCTCTTATTGATTTTTCACAATTTTTTTTTATATTTTATTATTATATGTAAAATCTAATATTAACATTGATACGATATGGAAACTGATTAAATATTGTATTTTATTGTATTGCATATAGTGTAAATATTGTATTGTAAATAATGCTATACATACTACATTTACTAAAGTTCAATTTAAATTGTTACTACCAAAATATCAAAAATCCGTATATCCTCCTTAAGTCCCCAAAAGATTAGATAAAAATAGAAGTTCTCGACTTAAATTCATGTGAACTATGTTACCTATGTTAACCGCCAGAACTTTTTAAAGCATTCGGACTTAAAGACTGTGTTGGGGGTCTATATGTTGCTGGTGTTCTGGTTGTCGGATATGTTGGCGTGGTGTAAGTTGTTGATGGTCTAGTTGGAATAAAGGTTGTTGAAGTATAGCTAGGATATTTTTGAGTATCCTTTAAATGCTTGTAGATATAACGAGCTAAAAATCCATTCTTATCGGCAGTATAAGACCAGTTCGCGATTGCATTCGATATGATGAAATTTATATCTATGAATCCAGTAACAGATAGATCATTTTTGGAATTTTTAGATGTCTGAAATTGTGCAATTTCATTTCGAAAGCTATTATCTGGCAATTTTATACTGAAAAAACGTAGTCATCATTTATTGTAATAAAAAACGAAAACAAAAATTCACAACTCACTTTAATTCATATAAATTTTTGTCAGTTGCCAGTTGAGCTTGAGATGTCGCAGCGTTCTGTGGGAGTTGTCTGCTAATCTTCACTACAGCTAAGAAGAGTGTAACTCGTAAAATCTTTAATTAAAAATAAATAAATATAAATATTATCTAAAAGAAACGAGTTTGCATTACAAAAGCAAACCAAGTAAATTTTAGAATCATGATTTTGAAATGTCTTCACTACGCGGTAGTTGCAAAATTACTAAACATTTTTGAAGATCTTTTATTCTTATAAAAATAAAATTTTGACATAAAAATAATGTAAATATTAACTTATGTAGTTACCACCTTGCAAACTGGTACCACAAGTTTTACTATCCCAAAATTTTTATTAACTAAAAACGCATTTGCTTTTTGAAGAAATCGTTTCCCAGTTGACAATGCAAAGAGCGAAAAATACAACGATTACCACCTTTAAAACTTTAACTGTAAATTTAAATAAAATAATACTTACATGGTAAGTAGCTTTACAACTACAGCGTAGTAAAGATATTTCAAAATCATGATTCTAAAACTTTCACGGTGTGCTTTTGTAATGCAAACTCATTTCTTTTAGTTAATATCCATATTTATTCATTTTTAATTAAAGATTTTACGAGTTACACTCTTCTTAGCTGAAGTGAAGATTAGCAGACAACACCCACAGATCGCCGCGACATCTCAAGCTCAACTGGAAACCGATAAAAAATTATATCAACTGAAGTAAGTTGTGCATTTTTTTCTTATAAACTAAATTATATTGCCTCCTTTAAGTATTAAATTGACGGATTACAGCTTTCGAAATGAAACTGCAAGTTTACAGACATTCGATAATTCCAAAAACGATATATCTGTTACTGGATTCATGAGAATAAAATTCATAAAATGGAGAAAAATGTCTGACGAGATTTGTATTGCCGATAAAAATGGATTTTTGGTTCATTACTCATATAATAATCTGCGACCTTTGGTACGTACAACCACTCCTCGCCTAAACATTTTCGTGCCAAGAGCTCCTTCTAAAGCACAGCCTCCTTTACGTGAGGTTATATTAAAAATTTCTGTCTGTCAAGCATGTAGGCTACTGATATAATATAGTTAATATGAATTTATTTTAAACAACTCTTATATTAATTTTGTTCTAGGAGCTCGAGGAAGGCATAAAGGTCATATATTTTCGTAAAATTTATTTGAACCAAAATTTTTTAATGCAGTATATATAGTATTATTCACAATAAATATATACTATATATAATAAAATATAAAAGAATATTTAATTAGTTTTAAAATTAAACATTTAATCTCAACATTAGCAGACTTACTTCCGAGATGCAGGCGCTTATTTCTCCTTAATTAAATAAATTTAAATAATTTCTATAAATTTTCTTGATTATAAGTAACCAATTCATTTAAAATATTAATTGCATTCTTAAAAACAACTATATGTTAGTATTTCAGTATTGTGCATTAAAAAACCAGTCATTGTCTAGTATTTTTACGTTTTCAAGTTTAAATCTTTATGAATTAACTGGGATGTGGTCAATGCAATTGACATTTAAAATATATTTTACAATCTTGTCTCTAAGCGCACAGTACGCAGAAGATTCTTTCTATACCCATGTGAGACCAGGTCGTCTTTAGGTGAACAGGTTTTTTAAAATAATATTTATTTAAAATCAAATAATTGTGATTTAAGCAAACTTAATTTTTTGTGAATTAAAAATGATCAATTGAGATGTTCAGTAGATTCCCAATCATTTCGTTTTGAAGACATTTGGAGATCATGGTTTTCGAATTTCATGGTTGTTTGTTGAGCTTTAGTTATGTGAACTTTATTCTAGTCTTCTTACTCTTACTTCTATTACTTAATAGGGATTTTAAGAGTTGCACTTGTCTTCTGTCTTTTGATAAAGTTTAGTAGATAAAATGCAATAAATTCTAATAAAAATTTATATGAATTAAATTTTGCTATGAAGTTGTTATTCAGAATTATGCATAATAATGCTTGTTTCGAAATACAACTGCGTGATAATAGTTTTCGGAATGAAATTGGAAAATTTCAAGTATCTACACATTAGTTCCAAAGAAGCTTTATCTATTACTGGGTTCACACATATGAATAATAATGGATTATGCCTTCATTATATCTACAAGCAATTGAAACACACTGAACATCTGTTAAGCAATACTCCTCCAACTAGGCGACGTATTACAACTATACTTTGGTAGATCTATTTCAAATATTTTTGTATTTATTATAGTTCAAGTATTTTAAATTATATTGTTTTGATATTTAATTTTTAATATAGTTGGATTTTATCATGTCTTTAGATTTATAGAGATTAGAATGAAAATTGTGATTAATGTTAAGATTATTAAAATATTTTTTTTTATATTATTTTTAATTCATTATGTTGTGCTTAAAAATTTCAATATAAAATAAATTATTAAAAATTTTTAAAAATTATTCCGGAGCTTAAATGCATCAATATTTTATATTCTTAACCAGCAGCAGTTTTTAGAGCTTCCGCGCTTAAAGTTGTGGCACATCGTAACGTCGAAGTGAATGATGAGTATGTTCCTGAACATGGTCTTGAACCTATAATACGTCGCCTAGTTGGAGGAGTATTGCTTAAAAGCTGTTCAGTGTGTTTCAACTGCTTGTAGATATAACGAACTAAAAATCCATTCTTATCCGCAGTATAAGTCCAGTTTGCCATTGCATTCGTTTTTATAAAATTTATTTGAATGAATCCAGTAATAGATAAATCTTCTTTGGAACTATTAGGTAACTGAAAACAAATATCATTATTCAAAATTACAAATAAAGACTTCGCAATAAAATTCATTTTATATTCATTTTTATTAGATAATAAATTGAACTTTAGGTACTATACTCCTAGTACTCCTCTGTGGGTTTTGTCTATTAAACTTTACCGAAAGAAAGAAGAAAAGTGCAACTTGTAGAATCTTTAAGTAAAAAAAAGTAAGTATAGGAGTAACAGAATAAATTTTGCATTACTAAAGCACACCCAGCAAATTTCAGAACCATGATCTTTGTATGTCTTCACTACGTAATGATTAGAAAACTACTGAAGACTTCAAGCCATAATTTTGTCTTGCAAGAAATTAAGTTTGTTCAAATCGCAATTATTTGATTTTAAATAAATTTTATTTTAAAAAACCTGTTCACCTAAAGACGACCTGGTATCACATGGGTATAGAAAGAATCTTCTGCGTACTGTGCGCTTAGAGAAAAGACTGTGAAAAAAAATTTAAATGTCAATTGCATTGACCACATCCCAGTTAATTCATAAAGATTTAAACTTGAAAACGTAAAAATACTAGACAATGACTGGTTTTTTAATGCACAATACTGAAATACTAACATATAGTTGTTTTTAAGAATGCAATTAATATTTTAAATGAATTGGTTACTTATAATCAAGAAAATTTATAGAAATTATTTAAATTTATTTAATTAAGGAGAAATAAGCGCCTGCATCTCGGAAGTATGTCTGCTATTGTTGAGATTAAATGTTTTATTGTGAAACTAATTAAATATTCTTTTATATTTTATTGTATATACTGTAAGTATTTATTGTTATTTTATATATACTGCATTAATAAATTTTAACTTAAATTAATTTTACGAAAATATATCAAGATCTTTGTGCCTTTCTCGAGCTCCTAGAACAAGATACAGATAAGAGTTGCTTAAATAAATTCATGTTAACTATGTTATATCACTGCCCTACATCTTTAACCACCAGCACTTTTTAAAGCATTCGGACTTAAAGACTTTGGTGGTGGTGGTGCTGGTAAATATTGTGGTGGAGTTGGGCGATATGTTGTTGAAGAATAGCTAGGATCTTGTTGAGTAGCCTTTAACTGTTTATAAATATAACGAACGACAAATCCATTCTTATCCGCAATGTAAGCCCATTTACCTATTGTGTTCGTCTTTATAAAATTTATTCCTATCAATCCAGTAACAGATAGATCTTTGGAATTATCAGATATCTGCAAACTTGCAGTTTCATTTCGAAAGCTCTTATCTGGCAGTTCAATACTTAAAGGATGTTATATCATTTATTATATCAAACAACGAAAAAAAAATTTACAACTCACTTTAATTCATATAAATGTTTATCAGTTTCAAGTTGAGCTTGAGATGTCGCAGCGTTCTGTGGGTGTTGTCTGCTAAGCTTCACCACAACTGAGAAGAATGCAAGTCGTAAAATCTTTAATTAAAAATGAATAAATATAAATATTATCTAAACGAAATAATAAATATTATCTAAACGAAATTTTGCATTACAAAGGCACACCAA